ACTGGTTTGTCCAGATGAAGTTTTAGAGGATTCTTTTATCTACACCTTACAGCTGCCTTAGATCTCTTTTACACATTCTCCAATGTACCATGTTTAAGGCTCATATTTGCATGCTAATTTTTCACTCTTGGCTCATTTAAGAAAAATGTTTACAGTGAAAAGGGTTTATGAACTCTAGACTTGAATTACACTCTTCTGGGCCTATTTGTAAACCAAGTTTAAAGGGGTGGGGAATTTAAAACAAAAACAAAATCACAACACGTTTAGATTTCCCACACTGCATGCGTAAATTAAAAGCAAACGGTGTATGGCTCAGTACGGGTAAAAAATAAAAACCTACAACCCAGTGAACACAAGGCTAAATCAGGAGTTGAGGCGTCTAGATTACAGGACCCAAGGGCAGGAGGGGGAAAAAAACTAGTAAGGTGTTCGCAAGTACTAGTCTAATGAACACAACCGGTCTCATTTGGTGTGGAAATGGCAAGCCGGGATAGAGAACAACCACCAATGTGGCGAGTGCACTTGGCCTTAAGGGGAAAAAAAAGAAAAAAAAAAGATTTTTACCTGCACTCTAGACTCCACCAGGTCCAGCCTCAGCGCCAGCGCCTCTCTCATAAACACGTCCGGGTAATGACTTTCATTAAAGGCTTTTTCTAGCTCTTCTAGTTGCCAGCCAGTGAAATTCGTGCGGGTTCGTCTTCTTTTACAGCCAGGGCTTTCCTTGTCCGGGTCACCAGAGTCTGAAAAGGCAGAAATACAATCAACAAACAAAATTTGAGATGTTTCACATGTCCACCCCACAACCCATCCTACTTCCCTTCTCTATTGGAGTCTATCTGGCAAGGAGCTACCTTCCTCCTCTTCCCCTTCCTCCCCCCCCCCCCCCCCCCCCCCATTTTCCAACAGCCTCTTCACCTTTGCACTCGGTGCTGTTTATAAGGCGTGGGAGTATGTTCTTTACACACCCATATCAAAGATGGGGGAGGCCTTCTTCCTTCTCCTCCCCCCAAAGCCTGCTTTACAGGATGCTCGTTCTTGACATAGGCCATCATCGGAGAACAGGTGCAGGAGGAAAAGTTTTAACAGCGAGGCGGGTCCCTGGACCAAACTTAAACGGTTCAATGAAAAAGAGGGCCGCAACCTACATTGGGTGCAAGGGCACCGGTCTCCTTTTCGAGCAAAGGCGCATGGGCTCCAGAGAGAGGCCCGGCTAGATGCCTGTCAAAGCCACTGGTACCTGAAGCAGGCCCAGCCCCTGCCGGGCCCACGGTCCCTACTCGGGAGTGGCATGTGGAAAGCTCGCAGGAGAGCAGATAGCTGCCAGAGCCGCGCGGGGAAGAGATGTGGTCGTAAAAATGGGACCCTACCCAAGTCCTTAAGGTCACCGGTTGGATTTTAACCGCCCGGCCGGCACTGCTTCCCCCTCTCCGGTTGTACGCTGCAGGTGTGTATTACTAAGTCTCGCAGCGACTTAGGGCGCAATGGGGTACGCCACGAAGGAGCATTGACAATCAGAGGTTGGGCATCACTGAGGTGCCTTAAAACTAAACAATAGATTTGCCCAGGAGGCAAACTTTGCACTTGCTTGTGCCCTCGTTAGAGCGGGGTCTAATCATCAACCTTCCTCCCCCCCTCTCCGCAGCGGCACCCCCCTGCTCAACGGGGCCTCTCCTCCCGACGCCAACTTTAGAAGGGACCCGGGGACCGGCTATTGTTCGGCGCGCACGTGCGGGCACCACCCGAGCTGGTTCGGAATCCTCGTTCCAAAAGCGATGGGAACAGAAAAGGGGGGGGGGGGGGGG